AAATAAGAAGGAAATCAAATAAAAACATTTGTAGGACTATTTATATTTTCTTGCACGGTTGAAAATGTTTCGTATCTTGTATTTTGAGGTGATACTGTGAAACATAAAAACAATTTTAAAAAACGCTTTTAATTAGGTCAACTAAAATATGCGTCACATCCTGCTACGGTCCCGCACCAGCGCCTTTTCTTGCAGGCGAATAACCTGACCCCCGGCTCGATGAGAGAACTATGGATAAATCAAAGAAAATAAAAGTATCGGAGGAACACAGAGGGTTTAATTCTGCATGGTTAGAGGTATGTGCTTTCACAGCAAACGATGCTGGTTTACCGGTATGTTTGATATGTAGAGAGAAGTTCTCAAAGGAGTGCTTTACGTATTGGAGGAAAAACACGGAAGAGGAAGACAGCTGACGATCTTCAGTCATACCTCAATCAGTTAACTCTTTTAGGGTGCAGCTATAAGTTTGATTTATTTCAAAGTGGGGCCATTTGAATTATATTCATTGTCTTCAAATGTATAGACTCTAGAGGACTCCCCAAGTGCTGTGTTGATTTATTTTAAAGTTGGCCTGTGTTTTTTTTTTTTTTTCCTTATAAGAGTTCTTTGTTAATTATTAGAGATAAACAGTTCTCTATAATGTAATACATAATAAATGAAAAAAAACTGTTGTTTTTGTCTATGATGTATGTAACAATATATACAACTTTATAAGCTATCAAGCTATCAAATGTGTTTTGCGGCTCCAGACAAAGACAATTGGTGGAAAACGAGGCAAAATTGCTCTTTTGGTCAAAAAGGTTGCAGGCCCCTGGACTAACCTAATACAGTTCTGTGAAATCTGTTGTTATACTGTAATACATTTAACTAAAGTCAACGTTTCAGTTTTTTCAGTGTACTGTTATAGAAAACTTGTACTACAAAAAAGAATTTCCTGGATGTAAGCAAATGACTGAGGAGGTTTCATGGTGATATCTATAGTTAACATATTTACCTATTATCTCCACTTAGCTGAGTAAATTATTTAAATGATTTTGAAATGTGGTTTTCTGTGCGAGATTATTTGCATGTGTGTGTTGTGGGGAGGTTGTTTGTTCTCCAGCAGAAGATAATGGGACATTTCCCTCCCTTTTTTTAAGAGAAAATAGGACTCAGTTTTGATTGGAGGATTAAACTTTTATCAGCCTTCGTATGGGAGCCTCATCAAAGGCTTTCAATGATCAATAAATATTGATGGAAGGAACATTAATCATTTATTAAATCCTTGAGCAGTGACAGACACACAAAACTCCTAAGAATTTTAAAAGAAATTCCACTTCTGTTTCTCGTCTTTTGATGAGAGGAAAGTCTTTGAGTCTAATGTTTAGGGATATTATTAGTTTTGGTGGAAAACAAAGCAAAGAGAATTTTTCATCAGAAGATGCAGAACTATTCGCATGTATTGGTAATTCTTGTCATTTGAAGTCACATTTTATTTTGTTCACTTTTGGTTGAGCCTTTTAAGTGATAATCAGCTCCTTTGTTTGGAATATTTATAAAGCCTCACAACTCAAACTCAGGCGGCAGACAGTAACTTGAAAGTGACCTATATATATTACGTTTGACTGTTGACATCAATTACATAATATTAGGTTGTTTTTATTCTCTCTTTTAACTGTTTGTGTACATAATTATTGAGTACCCATTATAATGAACCAGCTTCAAGTATTTTACATTAAAGCTCTTCTTTGGTCATAAATGTGAAATATTTTATCAAAGTTGTTTTGTTTTGGACAGTTGAACCACTGTTCTTTGTGTTTTAATGTTTTTACAAGACATGCCAGACAGGCAGTTTTTAAATAGGGCAGCAAAGACCAACACAATAAAAAAGTAGTGGTCCTAAAATTGATCCTTGAGTAAACGTTTTTATAATTTAAAGAGTTAACATTTTATTGCACTTGAACACACTGCAGAAACTATAGCCAAAATATTCTGACAATCTTGGCTGTTGAGTGTCTATGATATCAAAATGATGATCCAATAGAGTGGTGCGGTGACGAGTGTCAGGGGGTGAACTCTGAGGCATGAACTCAATTGCACGACTCAAACTCAGACTCGGATAGTGTTTCAAAATAAAGACTTTACTGGGATTTGCACAGTAATGAAAACAAGGAAAACAAAAACACTCTTTCGAGGAAAACTAGAACAGTGATCAATAACATAGATCCGTGAGAAGTCCGTGAGGTAAACAGGAACGTAGGTCATAGAGAGACAACGAACTGACAATGAACAGGAGGGAGCTAACGCAATATATACACAGGTAAAGGGGACACAGGTGGAAACAATCAGGGACGCAGGAGACAGAAGGGGGCGGGGAGCGTGGAGGCCTGAAATGAGAGGGAGAATTAATTAAGGGAATAAACATAAAGCACAGGACAAAGGGACATGACAAAACTAACATAAAGAATAAACTTTCACTATAAGTTTCGTGGACATGACAACGAGTCCTAAAACCCGGAAGTGAGTCAGCATTTTACCACTACCGGTGCCCTCGTCTCAGAGTCAATGGGATTTCTTTTTTGGAAAATAGCTCGAAATAATGTCTGTGTTTGACACAAATTTAAGAGACGGATCACGTTTTGTTCATCGACATTAAATACACCAGCAGTGACCCCACTGGTGATTTTTGAAGAGTTTACGTGTCTGAGAAAACTATGGTTGTTAACAGGCTGAATAGGACTACAGAAGCTGTCGAGGAAATTGTACGTCATTACTCCGAACACGTAATCACTCCTCTAAATTTGTTTGCCCTGTTCTGCTTGAAAGCAAATACCTGGCTCCTGCAAACTGTTAAAACAAACGCTTCAACTTGTACAATTTAGAATCTGTATTTTTGAATATCGATCTTAAGTTGGCGTGACGTTGAAGTCGTGCGACCCTGCTGTAGTTCGTTTATAGCATAGCGTTAGCATTTTGCTTCTGGTGATTAGATTTATGATAACAAAATGATAAAAGTGTGAGACATGTGGAGATCATCCGGCTGAACAAAACGTGCATTTATCAAACAGGTTCGTTTTCCACAGACCTTATTTCGAGCTATTTTCCAAAATCCTATGGAGAAATCCCATTGCTTTTTTGTCGAGGGAAACATGCACAGTTTATTTCCGGGTAAATACGTCATCCCTGCACCACTCTATTGCATCCAATCTAAGTGGGAGTATACATAGGTGTTCTATTGGTTCATGCTTTGTTTGAGTGAAGACCTATTGTATCTAGTGGTGCACGATAATTATCGGCCCGATAATTATCGGTTCGATATTAGGAATTATGACGTCATCCCGATAAACCCGATAACAGTATTAATAGCCCCGATAATATACAATATATTTTTTGGGTAAAAAAAAGAAAGAAATACTGCGGTGTGGGTGGATTGGGATGAGGGGCGCTTGTTTTTCACTCGGCTCCTCCCGTTTTGCCAGTACTGTGGTATTAGTGGTTTAGGAAGAGGGGAGTTCTTCACAAATCCAGCGCTCCCTAACTCATGCCTGGCTGTGACGTAAATGATGTGCGGCCGTGAAACCAGGACAGTAAACAAACACGTCGCCGGTAGTATGGGACTATTTCAAAGTTTCAGAGTTAGATAGTTCGCTTGCTATTTGTATTAACAAATGCAGAAGTTCCACGAGGAGGGAAAAAGGCAACGAGCTATAATACTTCCAACCTGATTAGTCACCTGAAACATCGCCATCGCTACGATGGTGTGTTAAAAGCGTACGAAGACGCCTGCGCTGCTAAACTAGCGGCGAATCCAAAGCCAGCTGCAAAGGCACCGGGGCTTTTACCTATCGACGAGGCTTTTGAAAAAGGCAAGAAGTTTGCCAGAGACGACCCCAGGACTAAAACGATCTCTAACTTCATCATAGAAATGATGGCGCTTGACGAGAGTCAAAACTGTTCTTGGCTTTGTTTTGTTCATAGTAGTAATGCTCATGTCATTTGCTCACTACTAGTCTTTTTTTTACCACCAGGTGTGCAAAAACTACAGGTACATTTAATATATATTATATTATTATCGGTTATCGGTATCGGTCTTGAGAAGCAGGAAGTTATCGGTTTTGGTATCGGTTTCAAAAAACCAATATCGTGCATCCCAAACACTAACCCTAGAGTAGGCAATTTATTTTTAAAGAGGCTTAACAGAATGTGTAGAAACCCCAACACAGAATGATTAGGAACTGAGATGGCAGATTTACATTAAAGCTGGATGTTTAGAGAACCAAACATGGACCATTCCGTTGAAGTACATAAGTTACATAACATCTTACAGTAGCCTTTAAAATCAACAGCGACAGGTGGGAGCATAGATTCTCCTCATCTTTGTTGAAGATTTAAGGCAACACCGTGTGGTAAGTTAAAGGTCACCTATTGTGCAAAATCCACCTTCCATGTCTTTTATAAATAAACATGTATACTTTCCTCCGTGTAAAGAGATTCTGAAAGTTTCAGGAAAAAAGATTCTCTCTCTTTTTGTCCTGATCCATTTCTATAAAAACCTGTCTGAAAATGATCTGATCAGATTTTGGCCACTTTATGATGTCATAACGTTTGTTTGGCTTGTGTAACTATTAGTCAATCAGCAACCAAGGTAACCCCCCCCCCCCTTATCACCTGAATCTCCTCCTAGAGCACCATTGTTTTGTTTTTTTAACCAATCTCTCTCAGAGGGGCGTGGGGAGTGGCTCCTTATTCTCATCTAAAGTAACAGACAGAGAATCAGCACTTTTGAAACAGGGCTGAAACAGAGGGGATTATGGCAGTGGCGAGCCGTGACTTTTCTACCTAGGCCCTCTGACCCCACCCCCCTCTACCCTCGAAAAAAAAAAGAAAACGTTTTTACGTCACAGCCTATAGTATACTTCAGCGGAATATCAAAACAGCGGCCCGGGGTGCAAAACGCATCAATGACAGCGACCCTCTACCACACAAAACAACACCATTTATATAAACACCTATCATGACAGGACACCCACAGCCAAGTAACAATTACAAATGAATTAAGTCGGCACGGCGGCCCACATTGAAAATCACTTTGACTTACCTTTGATGATCAAATCACCTAAACACAAAGTCCATCCTCCTGTCTTTTTGGATGAAGAACTTGATGGCGTCGTCATGCAGCTGATCCTTTGCTTTTAAAGCAATCAGCAATTCCTTCTCGATCGAAATTAAGGCCAAGTCTGACAGTCGGACTTGCCCAGTCGTGGACCTCGAGTAGCTTTTTATGCGCTTCAGCGCAGAGAAGGACCTCTCCACAGAGGCAGTGGACACAGGTATTGTCAGGATGATGCATGAGAGGGTGTACACCTGTTTCATGCTTTCACTCAGTCCTTTTTTGAGGAGAAACTGATGAATGTCGGCTGGGCTTTTCCCCAAAATGTCAGACATGCCGTACATCACGGCGAGTTCCGTGTGCAGTCGAGGCTGGTCGAAATATCCGCCATAGCTCTCCATCAAACTGTTCAAGGCAGCAGTTGGGAAATAGTTACAGTAATACCCGAACTGTTGCGGGTCCAGAAGGGCCAGGAATTCCAGCTTTTTGTGGTCACTGAAGCGGTTGGAAATCTGGGTTAGCAGGCTGTCAATTACGCTGCAGTGGAGCTCCCTGTACCGTGCACGAACGTCTCCTTGAGCTCCACGGCCGCGCGGAGGGCCAACCAAAGCCTGGGTTTCATCGTAGACGCTGTCAAAGTTCCCCTTCTCCTGTTCAATTTGTCGCTGTAGCTGATCCACTCTGGCCAGGCAGAACTGCATATCAAAACCTTTGTTCTGAAGTATTTCAAAAACAACATCCGAGTAGGAGAAGATAGCGTGGAAGGTTTTCAACCAAAAGCTGAAATCGAAGCTGGTAAGGAGGGTGATGTATCCATCAGAGCAATGAACAGTTTCGTCATCAAACTCTGTGTGATGGTCTACGATGTGCTCGAACACCTACGAGAGTAATGCTTAGTTTAGAAAAAACAACTTATAGACCTCCAGTAAACACTAAGATTAGCTTTTCATTTAATGTAATACTAGCATAGTTCTTTACCTTCATGTTTTTATGAGTGGGTAGTTTCCAACACTAAATCATTTCTTTATTATTGTTAATATTTCCATTACGTTCATTGTTATTATTATCTTACCTCTCTCAATTCCCTGGTCTTATCTGCCACTGTGCACACCAAGCAAGAATGAAAGCACCAGCGAGTAGGAGCTGCCCGTGGAAGCCTATGCTGGCAAATATCATCCAGTAGCTTGGTGCGCTTTGCTGAGCGGCTGAAAAAGGTGGCCAAGCCAGAGAGGTGGGAGAAGAAGACCTTACACTCTCTTATCTTGGAAGCTCCATTTGACAAGACGAGATTTAAGATGTGAGCATAGCAGTGAATGAAAAGGGCCTGTGGAATTGTTTCCTTAACTTTCGCTTGCACCCCATTCAATCCAGAGGCCATAACAGCTGCTCCATCGTAGCACTGCTGCGACCACTTTGTCAATACAGCCACTCTCCCTCAGGAACTCCAGCAGCCGTGTAGCTATGGCCTCTGCTCGTTTGTCCTCTGTCACATCTTCGTACTTGAAGAAACGCTCTTTTATCCCATCGTCAGTGACATATCGAAGCACATATGACATCTGCGCCACGTTGCTAATGTCTGTCGTTTCATCCAACATGACCGCAACAAAAGGTGCCTTCCTCAGCTCCTCTTTCATGCTATCCGTCATTACACTAGCGACAGCGCTGATCAGGTCATTCTGAATCCTTGAAGATGTGCCGGTAAATACTGTTGATGTGGCGAGGTGTGTGTGCAGGTCGCTGTCATATTCTGCCACTAAATCCAGCAACTCTATGTAAGTCCCCTTGTTTGATGAAGTTACACTCTCATCGTGACCTCGGAACGGCAACTCCTGCTTGCCCAAGTACACCACACAATTTATCAGGCGTTTCAAAATTCCTCGGTTCCTCTTCACCTTTTCATTATGAAGGATGACACCCCGGCGTTGTTGCTCATCCAGCTGGAGCTCTATCCTGGTGTCCCCAAATGTTTTAAGCCGAATAGTAGCTCTGAGGTGACCTGAAGCATTCTGATGGCGATGTGCTGATTTGGATAAACTTCCTAAATCAGAATATCCATCTCTGGCCCATGACCCACTGTCCGCTCCAAAAAGCAAGTAATCCCAGCAGTACAGCTTGTGTTCCCTGGTTGATCCGGTCATCCAGTTGTATCTGGCGTAATTGCCGATATTAAAATGCCTCTCGAACCGTTTGGTTTTTTGAACCAAATTAAGCTGTGGTGTTGGTCGCCCTTTGGTAATTAACTCCAATTTATCCGTGTAACTCATTCTTGAAAAAGACTCGGTTAGTAGTTTCGCAACGATGTCATTACTATCACTAACGTGAGCCATCGTGAATGAACGTATGCTAATTCCGCCTAGCTTGACCCGTTGATATATCACATGCATAAACTTGGCAGCGCAGCGGGCGGAACTTGTCATAAAGTCCGCGATAATAAAGCCCTCCCATTTAGAGGGAAGATATGATTGGTCAATTGTTCTGTCACTTGACATTACTCTCTCGTTGTTTTACTATAGCGGGCCCTCTGTGAATCGCATAGAGGGCCAGACGAGCTTTTTTCATGTAACCCTTCACATTCAAACAGAAACTGAACAGGCAGATTCGAAGGATTTATTTCTTTGGAAATTTTATTTTAAATACAATTAAATCAAGTTTTTTCGGTAAAAATATAACAAAAATAATATTTAAAAAATATATATTTAAAAAAAATAATATATTTTTTAAATGTTTTTAAATATTATTTTTTAGAATATCTTAGGCCCTCAGAGAGGGCCTAGAGGGCCCTGACGGCTCGCCACTGGATTATGGGTAATGCTGCAATGATCTGTTTGGTATTTCCAGCCAAACACTAAAGAGACATATTTGTATATATCTGAGACCTATAATAATGTAATGAAAAACAGAATAATAGGGGGCCTTTAAAGGATTGTCCCTTGATAGTCTCTTGTCTGTAAGTATAGTGACTGTTGTAGCTCTAGCATTGAAGGTGAGTTACACAGTCTTCCATAGAGGATTGACAACGTAAACTCCAGAGCCTTGTTTCATGGTGTGGACCGGTGTTAAAGCAGTATGGGGCATTAGTTTACATCTGTGGGGACACATTTATCATCCTGGGGCTGTCAGCAGTATGTCACTGTCTTTGCCCCCCAGGCCTGCAGCCACCACAGGGGTTTGACAGATTTGTGTGTGTGAGAGAGACAGAAGGAGAAGGATGGGGCCCCGAAAGGCGCCTTCACCCTAAATGACCTTGTGTGTAAGTGATGTAATGAGACAAAAGATTAATGATATAGAGTAACAATGTGGACTTTCCTTGTGCTCACACTATAGTCAAATGCATTGATATCCATCTCTGATCAAATATATTTCTTTAAAGGAAAGAAAGAGGGTACTGCCAACTCTGTTAAGTCTCTAACTAAATGATGGATGACACTTTCTCTTTTTAGAGAGCCAACCAACCACAGCACCGGGCAGAAAAATAGTCTATATTATTTATTATTAATATCAAAGACTCAAAAGATAATATGTCAACTGGGTACATATATGGTATTAAATATAATCTGACAGATGTAAGAATCCTACCTTAACAGATCTGAAAAAGAAGAAGAAAAAAGGTAGACTGTAAATGTAGAGCACTTCATTTTAAATAAGGAATGATTTCAGACACAGCCCTTGTCACTTCACTTGACACTCCTACTGGTTTCTTGGGCCCCCTGCACATTGGGGTGCATTAACCTCCCATGCATCAAATGCTGGAAACACCATCTGTTGTTGAATAAACCTAATATAATTTGTATAATTTGACTAAATTGGGATCAGGTGTTGCATACAGTAGATGGGTCCAGAGCACAATGACAGATGATGTAGACCAGGGGTGTCAAACTCAAGGCCTGCGGGCCAAATCCGGCCTGCAACCTCATTTTATGTGGCCCGCGAGAGATCGAAAAGAATATAATATACAATACAATTGGGGTAATTGTCGAATAGAAGTTATTACCAGAACTGATAATAATCAAATGCAGAGCCAATAATGTAATATAATACATTGTTTAATATATACTATATATTTATATATATTTATTTATATAGTCTTAAAGTTACAACCGGCCCTTTCAGTGCAACCATAATGCTAATGTGGCCCGCAATGACATTTTGTTTGACACCCCTGATATAATAAAGGCACCAGCTTATTATTGGAAGGTGGAGTAGGCGCAACAGTTAACAAACTAAATCTGAGGGGCTTTAAGACCCTGGCTTGGTAGGTTGAGTGGCCGTCTACCAATCAGAAGGGAGGTGGCTCGCACCCCAGCCCCTACACTCAACAAGTCAATGTCTAATAGGGCAAGATACTTGACCCTAAATTGCTGCAGATGGCCAACGGTGTGTGTGAACGTTGGTCTCCCTGAATATGTGGCACCTTGCATGGAAGCCTCTGCTTCTGTATGAATGGTTGGGAATGATTACTGACACTTTACCTCAGCCACATCATAGACTCTATGCATTACATTAATGCAGACAATGTTGACAATATTGCTTACTGCACATATTTTATATTATATAATTGATTGCATTATATTTCAATGTAAATTACTGCTTTATTGTATTGCTATCGTAGTATATTTGTGTTACAGTGTTCTTAATATAGTTCGCTAAAAAAAAGTTTTATTTGTATGTATGCACCATGACACCTGGTCAAATTCCTCGTACGTCTGAACCTACCTGGTAATAAAACCGTTTCTGATTCTGATTGTATATTTAAACTCGTTTTGAGTCCATGTACAATATGCGATTCATGTAAACCTACAGTATATAATACAAATAATTGTGACACAAAAGCCATGAAACCTTTATGGTGTTTTGGTTACCATTTCAGTTATATGGTTATTTTATAGAGTGCATGAAATATGGACATGGTCTTCATGATGTCACTCATATGTTTCTGAAGAACCACTCTGAAGCTCAAAGTAGGAAACGGCGGCTGTTCATTTTTGCCCTAAAGTTGGGTTTTTAGCCAGCATCAAGTGGTCATCGATCTACACTCTTTGCCATTTCTGTTACACTGTACTGCTGCTTGGTTTACTCAAACATATGGACATGAATGTTGATATTGGACGATGATGCACTCTTTTACATTCAAAGGAAATGTTTTTCAAGTACTGGCTTTCTATAATATCCATGTCTGGCAGCTATCCTCTGGTGTCAAACAAACTTTCCGATGTATATTACAATGAGGATACTGAAACACTACCATTGTGGAGAGAAAAAGTTGAAGGTAATACATTTGAAAATGTAAAAAGTTATATTTAACTGCTCCCCAGAATATGTTACCCTGCATTATGACTGTACTGGGTCCCAGAACTTTCTGGGTATGAAATTAATGTTTCAAAGAGTGAGCAAAGAGCTTTTCACTGTCAACTCTGCTGTACTATCATTCTTCTTTAACTCCTGCCTTTTTATTGAGGTGACCACTGAACACTTTACTTACTGGGTGTAGTTGTGGCTAAAATATATTTCAATCAGGAGAGACATGATGTATGAAATACATGTGTATTACCGGGACACATGATATAAGAGAATGGTGATTGACAGATTACAACAAATGAATGAACTGATGTTTGGCGATTAGTCCCCGGTTTGCAGGATGATCATTCGGGAGGGGACAACAGCTCCGATGAACCCCCCGGGGTCTAGACACTGGTGGTGGTGATAAGTAGTTCAGTCCGGTTCTGAAGGGAGAAGGTTTTAGCTTGGCCCTGTATTAGGAGACGGAGGCGAAGGGGTGGAGGAGGGTTGTGCGTTGACACTTGAAATGACAACTGACAGAGAGGGAAGAGCAGATTTAAAGGGGTTAGCGGGTGCGATGATTGGCTAGCTGGGGAGTAACGCCCCTGATCACTTATTGGGAGAGGAGAGGGTATTGAAATGACGTGTAACACCAGGGGGTATTGGTCTTCCTAATTGAACTTGCGCTAAGCTTTATTTCACTTCTTTAAGCTTAAGTTTGCTCTTACATGTAGGCTATGCTAACATGATATAAATTGGACCTATACTGAGATGTGCAGAACCTTTTAGAGCTTCATTCCAAGGCCACTTAATCACAGGTATGTTTATTAACAATGTCATTAAATATGCTGTGTTCTAGTAGACTGAATCATATTGAGAATTGCTTTCCAATGCTTTGTCTATGAATTTATGAATGAGCTGTTGTATTGGATTGCATTCAATTGTACGAATAATGAAGAAGCACTCTGTTTGACAATATTACTTAATTAGTTCAAACAGATCATTCCGGATTTCAGGGACTTGACTGACTCTATTGAAACAAAGAAAAGCACTGCTCTTTGGTCAAAGTGATGATTTAGTTTCTATTGTGGGAGTTACGGTGGAGCAACTGACTTTCCAGATAATCCATATCCGGGACAAGACTTCCTCTTCCGTGCTTTAGCCATTCCAATTAGCAACTTGAGATGTGAGATCAATTCAGAGTTTAGAAATGACATATATGACAGAATTAGGGTTAGGGTTGAGGTTCAGGGTTCAATTGTTTGCAATTTATCTGTGGTCAGGTGTGGCAAATGTGTGGTTTGTGCAGTGTTATTGGCTGCTGATAAAAAGGGAACAGGACCCTCATGGTGATCCCGAACGCAGACCA